TGGAGCCTAGGCCCTCAGAGGTGTTTTGATTTTAGCTAGTACATGCGCTGTCAGTATTGTGTATCAACGGACAGGGTGTCCCGAAAAATGTATGCACATTTTACACAATTGTAAATTTTGTGTATATGATAATATTATTATTTCAAAAATGAAAAAAAGAAATATTTAAAATTATCATTATATTCCTTGTTCATTGCATTTTGACTATTGCAACGGTGCCTGAATTGAGAGAAGCCATCAAACATGCATGAGCCCGAGTACCAAAGTATTTGTTTCATGGTGAGTGCGATTGCATTTCTTCGCGTTTTCAGCAGTGTCATAATCAACATGGACGCGTCAGTTTGAGTACGTTAAGTGAAAAAACAATAAAATGATACTTGTAAAAATACTTACCTTTTTTACATGATAAAATAATAAACACAAATTTTATAATTATTTAAAATACGTATGCATTTTTTTGGGGCGCCCTGTATACTACTGACCGCCATTGATGGCTCAATGAATCTTAAACGGTTATCCCACAGTGGCTCGTGAAGTTTGACTAAAATATGCATGTGAATTTTTGGCCTTTGCTTATAAACCTTAATTTAGACTGATTAAGACCAAGTTGTTGATTACTTGCTCAGGAAAATGAAAGGTAAAAACTCAAAAATTTGTGTTCGTTTATACTTTTACGACCGGTTTATTTTTACATAATTGGTCAAATAGTAAGGCCAATTTCGCTCTGATGAGAGCCGCTCAAATTTTCAACTCGTAAAGGGCTCGACAGTCATACACTGGTGACAAAGTTATTAGCCACAAAATTAAGACTATTTTTTCAGTGGGAAGACGTGTGGATCCACCTAGTATTACAAGCTAAAGTGAACGCTAAGTGTAAAAGAAACGAACTATGATAATGTTAGGGGAAAAAAGCAACCTTTACTGCTCAATCATCCTAGAATTTCTGAAAGCGTGGTGCGAAATCCGATAAGCCCACTCCGCGCATGACAGTTGAAAAAAATTTACAACAGGGGAGATCATTCCTTGGATAAGAAACATGATGCAGTCTTCGAGCCTCTTTCGTATATTACTTAGTAAAACTGCCTTAATAAAAAGTACAGTAGATGGCATATCTGATGCAAGGTTGGGGATTGGAGGAATTAATGCATATTTGAGGTTGTTTAATTAGTTCATTGGGTTGAATTGGGTCGCCAAATGTTGCTTACTAGAATTTAATTACGTTCAGATCAGAAAACTAGGAGAAAATATAGGCTTAAATGGGGGAAATCCAGCGTTTTTTGATATCCGAAAAATTTCCTATGCTATTAAACGCTGCGGACAAGAACTTCT